AGGGGTGGGTTGGGGGGGGGGGGAGGAGGGGATGACCCTGAGCTCGGGATAAGAGTACACGCACCTTTAAGTATTAATAAGAATGTATTTTTCGTCGGTATTAATCGAATTCTATTAATTATAATATATTAATAGTGTATTAATAATGATAGTATATACAGATGAATAACAAAAAGTATCTTATTACGGTACTAAAAGACAACAATAATTCCTTTTATACAATATAATAATATTTGTACTTAATCATACAGCGATGTAATATACAATTCGTTCGTGTCTTTAGAAAACGTATTTGTTTAGACCAAAAATTTCCCTCCTATCGTTACAGTGTCTTTGAGTTTCGTATTATTTGTTTTTCTTTCTTTTCAACTCGTCGTCCCCTACCTTTCATCGTTTTCCAAATACGATACAATGCAACTTGCATTCTCGTGAGTGTAATGTGTGTTTCATTGTATGAGCGTATGTGTTGTGTAAAGTCGTGTTAGCTTTTCTTTTTTTGGTATAGGTATTTCTCTTTTGGTTTTTTAATATAAAGCTATGACTAAGCCCCTCGCGAAAAAAAAAGTCGTGCTTCTATGAAAATACCAAGTAAAATTCACAGAAAGCAACGAATTCACCAAGAATTAAAAAGACAGACACAGTCTCACATCCCTTACCTCGAAACTGCCGAGAGAAGGGATGACATGGATTTTAGAATTCCGTATCAGAGGGACATCTTTAAAAATCCTTAAATTATAATCTTTGGTATTAGCTGTATGAAACCCACTTGCCACAATTTTTTTTTTCCCTTCAAATTCTTATCGCTCCTCAATCTCTCGCCGACTGCGTCTCCTCGCGCCGATCCAAAGAAAACAAGAAAAACAATTCCAACGCTCCGTCTGAATAAAAAGTGGACTCTAGTTCACCCATCCATCCGACACCTTACAACGTAACAAAACGAATATTAATAATGAATAAGCATTCTGCGAGTGGGACAGAATTGCACGTCATGGCACGCTGTTTACGCAGTGCGTTCGAGATACAAGAGTTAAAGAAGAAAAAAAGCGAATGTACCGCATTTAAAATAAAGAATCACCGTATACTCAGTAGTTTTACAATTAAATTCTAGCACAGATATTTACAACTTCGTCTTCGTTCAATTGATTCCTCCTGTTATAAGCTAGTGTCTCACTCGCGCCAGTTCACCCATTCAGAAGGAAAATCACACGTCAACATTCTCATCCCTTATATCCACACAGTCCCATACTCCCGCTTGATGCGTCAACCCCCTACGCAAGAAATATTTTACATAAACTTCATTTTTTTCCCCCTTCGTTTACCACGTACATATCGTACCATATTATACAACGTATTTCCTACGGCTACACCTCGGACAGACGCTGATCACTCGAACCATAAGAAATGGCTCCACGATGCTTCCTCTTCATGCGCGACACAAGATACTTCCATAAGAGCCCAAGAGGGACCAAGTCACTCACAGGAATCCTCTTGATCATTATACGTAGATAGATCTGGGTCTTCAAGATTTTTCAAAAACCTCCAATCACCACCCGCCCCCCGTAATTCCGTCAGCCGGGGGTGGATGGAACAACATGAAGAAGACAAAGACAGGGAACGCGCTTCTAGTATCCATCCAGACATCTGAGCTTCTTCAGGGGTGGCGGGGCCTCGTCTCAGCTCGTGGGTGCCGGCATTGGCATAGGGGGTGGTTTAACAGAGCCAATCCCAGGACCGGAAAGACCATTGTTGTTCATGTCACCTGGACCACCTGGACCACGTGGACCGGATCCTATGGTGCCGTTCATCGTTGGCGTGCCCCCAGACATCTGACCCTGTCACACATTGTCACAAGATCCGCATGAGCATACGTCACGTATCAACGATATAAATCATATGGCAAGGCGCGTCGGGAATTATGATGTAAACGATCGATATATCGAAAAGTCAACAAACTTACATTCGACACGTGATTGTGCTGCTGTCCAATATTCTGTCCCAGGGGTTGCGCCTGCTGATGCGGATGTTGCAGAGGATTATGATTAGGGTGCATATTCTGTCCTGGTGGCGTGGGCGTCGGTGGGAGCTGTCTCTTGATATGCGCCAACGAGGCAGGGGGATGTAACGCCATATTAGCGAATACCAACCTTTCCTCGTAATCGTATTCGCAGAGAATCTTATTCTCGCACAGGTAGAATCTGTCGCCCACGCAGAAACTGAAATCAGAGAAAATTCATAAAACTCATTAGAGATTGAATAACGTAAAAGCCATACTGTACAACTGTCTTTGCCCCTAAAAGGTATCCTTACAAAGAAAAAAAAAAAAAACATCTTTAACCCCATTTTCTTTGACTCTACGACAGCTTTGCCCCAGATTCATCCAGCATCCGTCCCTTGTGTACAGTTTATAGTACAGATATAAGGTATGTAAAATCCGTCAAGAGCATCAGTGTCACAACGAACGTAACGGACGACACGTATCATAGCAATGAAAAGACCTATCATGAAATGGCACAAGAGTTTATATGCCGGGTACAGTTAGCAGCTGTTACATATATGTATATACCGCCATAGCCATTATCAGCAACAGTAACAGTAACAACAGCAGCAACGGGTACGAACGTCGAAGCTAATGATTACCACGAGCATTCGCGGCTGTCAAGCAAATAATTATCGCCCTTCAGTGTCTGCCGGCCGTGCCGATTCCGCGCACATCCGCTTTGATCCGGCCGGAAATGCGAGAGGACTGACTGGCTGCCCGAGGTAGATACTCATAATCGCACGGCAAATAGAATTATCGCATTGCGCGAACGGGTCATTCCGGGGTTGCGTTTATTCCCATTATGCGAGGCGTTATTGGTCATCCCTAGCTGCGAGAACGAGGCTGGAGAAAGAGGAAGAGAGAGAGAGAGAGGAGAGAGAGGAGAGAGAGAGAGAGGTCATAGAGAGAAGTCTATAGCTCATTCTATTCGCCAACCCCACGACCCAAACCCCTCTTTCATTCTCCGTTTCGAACAATCAAGTCCTTTCGTTGCCAATTCTCTCGCGTTACGATACTACCGCTGCATTATGGGTAGATACTTCCTTTTTTTTCTGTCTACTTCACAACCGATCTACTTGACGCAGAGTCCATGCTCTGTTGGGATTGGTCGGATACGTTCGAAACTGTCAACTGAGCGCGTGCAGTGTATAGTATATGCATTGACGATCGTGAGGGCATTTTTTGAATTTATCAAATCGCGTGAAATGTTAAGCGGGTAGAAATTGTCGAGAGAGTGAGAGACCTCTCTGGCGCACACACACGGTCTTACTGTCTGCATGGAAAATTTCAATCTGAAGCACACGCCTGGATAACTCTGCTGAATCTTTAACGAGGGTCCCTGTGCGAGAGGGACGAGAGAGGGATGTCAACGGGGATAGGAGGTCGGCAGGACAGAAGGGAAGTACGGGAAGGAGTGGGAAGGCGAGTAAATGCTAGGAGACCGACGGGGAGAGAAAGCCGGCCTGGACCCGATTGCGACTCGTCCGGCCACTCTGAATAAATAAATGAAATCGCGAACGGCAATGTGTGACGCCATTAGGGCCGCTTTACTGCCGCTCCTGGCCGAGGCTTCAAAGAATAATACGAGACGGCAGAAGAGCGCTGGAATAAGGTTAACAGACGCGACGGTAAAAAGTGTCTCGTGCTGCTGCCTCGTGCCCGATAAAAAGTATGTGGGACCGAAAGTATCGATATTGACTCTCGCACATCGAGTATCGATGTCTAGATATTGTCGATATAGAAACGAAGGAACTTCCCTTGGCCCTCCTCATCGACGCTCTCGTTAAACAGTGCAAGTAAGACGAATCTTAAGCAAATACGATCGACGGTCAATGGGTAAAGAAGAATCGCGTGGAATCGATGAAATAGAGAGGAGGAAGCTCTCTTCGGATTGTAGGGTTACTTTTTAATTGGACGCTCGTTAAATTAGACCGGACGTCTTTTTAGGAGAGTGCCTGCGGAGCTAATTGGATCGGTAAATCATCCCCTAACCGGCAGGAGAAACGACAGGAGAAGTAAGGTGGAGAGGGTAAGCGGGATAGAGACAGAAGTAGAGAAAGAGAGAGAGAGAGGAGTGGAGGGAGAGTAAAGGCACGAGGAACAGTAGTGCTGCTAAGAGAATGAGTAGGAGGTGTGGGTGGCTAGCAGCCACCTCGGGCAAACCCTTTATTCCGTGTTATTACAGTCTAAAGTTACCCCCGTGTAATTGTTGCTGTTTAATTGCAAGTTCTAAGTCGTCCGCTCCCGTTACACGCGGCTCGTAATTGCGCCGAAAGTTTCTCGTGTGACGAGGGGACACGTGCTCGTGCGCATGCGCGAACTGCGACGCGACTGCCGACAGACTCTTAACCACCCTTAATCGCTTCTGTACACCTTTAACCGTCGCAACCGCTGTAGTATACCTTGCATTAAAAATAATCCAGATGGCAGTTCGATCGCTTAGCAATTTTCCACATCGAAACCCTATGATCTGTGTACTTAATAAATACAGAATAAATTCACGTGTATGCCTGTGTACAGAGATGTCAGTACAATCGAATATATCCAAAGGAGCCTTATACCAGTCGATCTGCGATTCTGTATATCGCATCAGTTTCGTTTACCCTCCGAGAGTGCTGCCGTCTGTCGTAGAAGTCGCGAACCGAATGAATGTATTTGAAAATCCAGCAGGATTTTCGAGCCGGTCGATAAAAAGAGTTATAAGGAATAAACGATATTGGTATACAGAAATACGAGAAGACGAGTGAAAGAGGGTTTGTCCCCGATGAAGAGAGAGGGGGGGGGGGTCAGATTGGGATAGAGAGAGAGGGAAAAAAAAAGAGTCGAGTTTTGTGGATAAACGCAGGGTGACGTAACGAAACCGAAACAGGGGTAGCTGTAGTCGACGCGGGGGCTTCGGGAGGAGGAGGGAGGGGGGATTGTAATGGCACGGTACGAGAGGCATTGTCGTAGGATAGACAATACCAGACGATAAAAACGTAAAATTGATGCTCTTTTGTTCGTATTGTTTGAGAAGCTGTACAACGTTTGTTGCACGCCCGGACGAGCTATTACTATTGGCTTGAAACTACAAGCTCTCCTTTCCTTTGGGCGTCATAGCGCTCCTGGCAGTCGAAACGACCCTCTCTGCGTCGCTCTCGCCCTCTGCCAACTCTATCCCTCTCCCTCGCTCGGCCAACTCCGTACAGACTGGCAACTGTTTCTACCCATGATCCTTCGCAGTCGTAATACCCTGCCCCCCTCTATATCCTGAATCGTATCTATACGTGGCTCGCGCGCGGGGCCAATAAGCTTCCATTGTTGTGCTTTAGCGGCCTGTAGAGCTTTCCGCATTTTACACATTTTTCCCAATGCGTCCACGTGACCCTTCGAAGGACTGCGTGACCAATCGAGAAATAGTTGGTATGACAAAAATTCTTAAATATTCGAAATATCCATTTTCTTCAATCAATTATCAAAATCCAATATATTCAATCACCAAAAGCACCGTTGACAACCAAGAGTCACGAGGTAAGCCTAACGCGGGAGAGCGCAATTTCAGTCCAATCCGTAAAGCTTTCGTGTTCCTAGACGGGCTGATCGTCGTGGGGTAGAAGTAGAGGGCGAGTGTAACCTTTAGCCACCCCGTGGCGAAGCAATCTCGCTCGGAGCGGGCAATTTGATACAAAAATGTCAGCAGTATCTGGATAATTATATAACTGGCCGTCGACGCGAGGGTGGGCGAGACGGAGGGAGACGCAGGGGTGGTAAGGATCTGGTATGACTGAATGAGATAGCGAGAGAGACAGGGAGAGGCGCGGTGTATAGGACAAGGGAAAGTGCGAGTGAGGCTTTTCGTCGAGAGGGAAAATCGCGAAGCAGGGGTGATTTCCCAACTGGCCTGTAAACCAACCCCTAGAGTGGACTGTGTCTCGCGACCGGGCCTTCCTATATGTACACGACTTCCGGCCCTATCTGGTCCCACCACGTATAAGAATATGTGATGCATAGGCTATCTCTGTCGCAGGGTTGTTCGGGTCTCGACGATATCTACACCTCACACATCCCCCTTCGCCCCCATACTCGGGCTGCGACACTACCTACAACCAACCTGATCTGTACATACGTGTACAGTGGTCGCTGCTAGGGGTGGTATTTTTCACGGAGATTGCCGACGCAAGACAGATTTTTCAATTGGGAAGCCCAGAACCACCCCTTCCAGTCTTACCGAAACGACCATCCACGCTGTCATATTTTTATTGCACCCGGGTATGTATATATATATATGCCTTTTAGCTATAAAAAATTAAACGATTCAAAACGATAGGCAGTCGAATAAGGGTATGTGTATTTCTTGTTACCCCTTATTTATATATATATATATATATAAATAAGAAAATACATATATTTCTTTTTCTCTTGTACTTAAATATTTCTCAAACTCACCGATGGTTGCACTGCTGACACGCAAAACATTCCAAGTGATAGACGTTCGCTCTTGCTCTCATGACCATCTCGAATGCTGGAATGATTTTGCGACATGCTGCGCAGAGTCCTGTACTGCCAAAGAGCCTCAAATAATCCCTTTTGCATAGGATTAAATTGGCTTTTGTGTAGAGGGTCGATCCGACTTCGCCTAATCGACAGTCACAGCAGCCGCACTTTAGGCAATCTTCGTGCCAGTAGAGATCCAGGGCTTTCAGTAGATACCTATGCATATATATATAAACTTTGTAAATCATATCGCACTTTTTGAAATAATGAGTGTTTACTTTTAATTCAATATAAATGAATATTCTCTGTAAAACTGACCTTTCGGTAATGGCCTTCCCGCAACCCGCGCACTCCTGCTGACTGGAGCCATTGTTACTAGTCTCTGATTTGCTCACGTCCATCGTCATTGTGATCTGAGCTATACCACCGTCTGAAACATGAATGCATCGAGAATACGTAAAGTCAGTCTACTTACGTATAAAACAACGAAAAACAAGAGAGAAGAATTTCAAAATACATTTTAAGTTTTTAAAAACGACTAATTATCGATACATCGAGAAAAAAGTGAACTGAGGATGATCACGTGTAAAGTATCAAATACACAATTCTTACAGGACGCATGCCTTATCTCTGACACAGAGACTGTAAAACTTCCAAACGCAGCACAACACAGAACAACCTACGTGTATCGTACACAGGAGGGCGTCTGCCCGTCGCGGATTGCTGGCGTCGTACAATAATTAACGTCGCTAATTGGAGCGTCGTCCATCGGCGCAGGCACAGCGCCTTTCATGCCTGGCGCCCTTACGCACGAAACAAAATATTTATTAGCGACC